TGTGTGCTCTCACGGGATTGTTTGGACATTGTGCCTGGAAGACTCTCTTTAGTCTGAGTTTCCAGAAACTACCTTGATGGGTTGATGTACGTTCAGGTGTTTAGTAAAACTGATCTTCGTATTTGACATGTAATCCAAAAAAAAAATTGTTACTATACGTTGTATGCGCGTGTACCCAAAAAAATTGTTACTATACCGCCGCTGGACCTTGGCACGCCCCGACCCGACAAGACTGTTCGCACTGTACACAGACTGGCAGCCTCAGGCGATATCGGCAGCGCTGACTCAGCACGGCAAGGACGGAAGGGAGCACGTCATTGAGTATGCGTTCAAGACGCTGAGCCAGGCGCAGGCTGATTACGAAGCGTGCAAGGGTGAATGCCTGACAGTGGTGTGGGGGATTCAGCATTTCCGACTGTATCTGTACGGCCAGAAATTCGTGCCGGCCAGAAATTCGTGCTGGTAACGGATCATCAGCCGCTGTTGTCCCTACGCAACAACACGGACTACACGGGGATGCTGGGCAGGTGGGCGGTGCGTCTGCAAGACTATGACTTCAACATCCGCCACCGTGCCACGCGGCAGCATGGTAAAGTCGATGGATTAACGCGCCTTCTGCCGCCCAACAAGTGTCCCGCCAATGAGCGACTCATTCCGTGGAGGCCAGAAGTCGCGGCGACGAAACCGCACTAGCTACACGTGCTGCGTAAGGACGACGCCTGAGTCCGGAATGGAGGTTTCACCGGAGATGGCCGACGCTATCTCTCTCCCCTCATCCCACTCCCTCGCTCTCTCGTCTAGMCCCAACTCGTCCTCTGAAACACACCTAAGTCCTTGCTTCTTCTGTACCCGGCCTATGATCCCGGACCAAGAAGGGTCACATCCGGGAGGGCCCAGTTTTCTTTTATGGGTACAGTGTAGTCAGTGTCATACGGTCACATCTCACGGACAGTGCGTTAGGTACCGAAGTGAAAAGACGTGGGTCTGTCCCAACTGCAGAACGGACCAAGACCCTACCGAGAAGCGGTATCTGGACGCTAGAACAGCCGATGGATTTGCGCCAAGTGCCCGCCGGGCAGAAGCCTGGACGGACCTTCTCTTGCTACGGAGACTGTCAGGCGACTCGTTGTCAGAACTTACCAAAGCCGAACGGCGGAGAGTCACGGAGCCGGCGCAGGACTATCGCTGGCAGGGCTGGACGTTACAAAAACGGAAGGTCGATGACGACGGAGAGTCTAGCTGGTTGACAGCTCCACACCCTCTTGCTAGGTTCAATTGGACACGAGCCGCTGATGAGGAGGATGCGGTCCATTTCGCGGTCAAGTACACGGAAAAAGCCATCGAAAAGAATGGATGGTACTGGTCGGGAATTCGGGAAGATGTGAAATACATCGTTCAGAATTGCCCGGCCTGCGCGGTGGACAAGGCGCCGTACCGATGCCTCGGACGATGGTGCCCACTCGTGTAGAGCGCCCCTTTCAGAGGGTTAGCATCGATACGACGGATATCAAGGTTCCGAGAGGGCCCGTCGATCAGGGAGAACTCAATGTTCTTTTAGTGGTCGTCGATCATTTTTCAAAATGGATCGAGGCGTACCCTATGACCAGCCGGAATTCGCAGGAAGTAGCCTGGTACGTAAATCGATTTTTGTGCATGCATCTAGACCTAGAAGAGGTACACATGGACAACGGGTCGGGATTTCAAGGCGAAGTAGAACGTCACCTAGTCAGGGCGGACGTTAAGATTATCTACTCGTCGGGGCATTGGCCTCAAGCCAATGGCCTGGTAGAGAATGCCAACCGACTGATTAAGACGGCCCTTAGACGGAATATCACTGCGGGAGACACCCGACCTTGGCCGGTCATCGTCGATCACATTTTGGCCGTTTATCGGGCTACCCCACACGGTAGTACTTGGGTGTCCCCTTTTCAACTGAGAACCAATAGTGTCCCTCGGGTGCAATTGTCCCCCTTAGTGGGTACGGAAGTTAGAGCAACACGGGCCCAGAATCGAGACAAGGCCCATCACTACATGAACTTAATGGCTAGGGCCTATCCCCCGTTAGCTCGCCGTCGACAGCAAGCCGTAGCTCGGACACATCAACGACAGATCTGTGACTACGAGAATCGACACGCGTCGGCGGGACCACTGCCTCGCTATAAAATAAGGGACTTGGTGCAGGTACGGAAATCCGCGCGCTCCTCCAAAGTCCACCCACGCTACACAGGCATTTACGAAGTGACGGAAGTTGGCGCACGAGGCCAGCACTCCGTGAAGCTGGTCCCCAGGCATAACTCGCAGGGCCGCCCGCTGACGAGGCACGCTGCTGCCCTTCGGCCTTTCCGGCCATCGCTAGATCTTGTGCGGCCACCTGTCCTGCCCAAATCACCTTCTTCGTCCCCCTCTCGTGCTCCTTCGTCGTCGCCTCCTTCTTCCCCTTCTCTCCGATCGGCGTCGTCGGCATCCGCGGAAGACCTTGCCTCGCAGGATGAACCATCGCCAACAGGAGCATGAACTGCTCGAGCACTTCCAGCCGCCCATCTCAGACGCTCTTCTCTGGAACCGGTTCAATGACGATCGCCAGTTGCGCTTCGACATTCAGCAGGTGAACGTGCCGGCACCCAGCGTTGCCGACTTGGCGGTGTACTCGCTCCTCGCGCAGCGGGTGACGTACGCGGGTGTCTATGTGGACATATCGCCCGTCCCTGGCCAGGAATCCACGCGAGTGTTCATCGAGTTCCGAGCCATCCAGGTGGCAACGAACTTTGTGCACAGTGTTTCTACTCTCACCGGGGATTTGACCGTCTTGCCCGGGCACGATCGGGAGCCGGCGTATAGATTCTTGCGCGATTACGCCCTTCAGGTGGCGAGATCGGTGGCACAAGTGCAGGCTCGGGGCACTCGTCGCTTCACTGCATACGAAGGACTTCTGCGGCGGACTTCGGAGGGAGCACTTGCATTGGTGCCGCAGCTTCCCGCGCTCCTTCCTCCCGCCGAGCCCCTCAACATCCAAGCTGTCCCTCCCCCTTCTCTCTAAATGCCTCCCTTCTTCTCTTACACTACCCTCGCTTATCAATTGACGCAGCTCCCCTATCCTATGCGCAACTTTCCCGAGTACCTAGTGGAGCTGATGGACGTGGAGCAGTTGCCGCCCGCCGACGAGGACGCGTGGGAGCTGCATCGGGCGCTGTATTCATCGGTGGTGCTGGGCATGTTCACATTCTTCGTGGAGCATGAAGTTCATAACGTCGGCGAATTCCTCCACGTGTACTACGTGATCGCCAAGCCGAAGTCGGAGCGGAAGGAGGGAACAGTGGCGCTTTATCCTTTTGGGAGGATCGGAACGAATCGCCCGGGGCTCTTACAACTCATTCACACCAAGCTGCTGTCCATTGCGCAGGTAATCGCCGCGGAAGAAGAAGACTTGCAGCTCAGACTACGGACCGCCTCAGCTTCGTGCAGATCGTATAAGGAGGCGGTGATACCTGACTATCTGGCACGTGAAGGGGAGTCCGTGGTGGACTTCGGGCACGAAGATAAGCCGTTGCGGCCTCCATCATCGTATCCAAAGCCGGCGGCCTTGAAGGCACCAAGAAAGAAAACCGTCCCGAAGCGGCGACAAAGTCCATCGCCGGAAGCTCAGGCCAGTCGAGTGGGGCCTGTCGAGGAGGTCGTCCAGCCTGCGCCGGTGCGCGAAGTCGATCCGGTTCGCGAGAGAAGAGCCACACTCGTCATGGGGCCCCGACCGGGGAAGGACCGCCCCGCCGAAGAGCGGCGGAGATCCACAGGCCATCCGGAGTCGACACCTCAGTGGCCCCGCCTCCCCGATCTCAACAGCCATGCAGCCGGGCCATCAAGCGCAGGGGGGCGATTGGGACGAGTTCCATATCCCGCATCCAGACCCCCCCTCCTTGCAGGACCGTTCCGATTTCGCCAGCCCGCCCGGGATACCTTGGTCATTGACATTAGCAGTTCCCCCGAGCCGGACGGTCCATCAAACCGACGTGGATCACATGGTGGAACTGACCACCCTCCGGCTTGAGGCCATCGAGGGGGCGCTACGTCCCGATCCGGCATGGGAGGCGTTCTTGCAGCCTCCATTCGATGGATGTATAGCGGCGAGGTTGGTAGGCACACTCATCTACAAGACCGGCGGGCGGCCTAATATTATGTACCATATCCTGGTCTTCGCGGCGGTTAAGCGGGAGCGGAGGCCGTACACGGAGACCCATCTAGTGCTGAAGGGTCCGCGAAATCGGCCGCTGCGACGACAAATCATTCGAGCGATCGCCGATCTCGCGCCACGGGTCCTCTCGCATGTGCCGGGGGCTTTCCTTCACCCCTCCTTTGTCCAACACCACTTCAATGAAGTGGAACTGCCGGCCAACTTGGCCGCGCTCGCGGCGTTTCTTCCTCCTCTTCCTCCCCCTCTCAATCTGGAGATTGATTACTTCCTATAATCATCTCCACCACCGCCTCTTTTTTTTTCTTCTACTTCCGGATCTAAAGCTCGCGCGATGATACGCGCTGTGTATATCTGGAAAAAAAAAAAAAAAAAAATTTACTTACCGATCGGGCCAGCTGACGATGGAGGGGCCACCCGATCCAATATATACAATGGGAGGAGGCGATGGAGGATGCAGGATGCATCCACGTAGATTAGGAAGATGATCGGGCCAAATGACGATGAAGCGGCCGCCCGATCATCCAAGATATGATGACATCAGCAGCCAGGAGACTGGTAATTTTTCGGAACCCCCTGCGTATCATAGATGTGATAAGCTCAGATCTGTACCGCGCTGCTTGCCGTATCCCTGGGGGAAAATCCCGCGGAAGCCCCGAAGTACGGGCGCGGATAGGAAGGGGTTTCCTTTCTTTTTGCTTTTGTTTTCTTTTTCAAACGACTTTTTCATTTTGTTTGGTTAATAACTCCCGCGGGCGAATAACGGCCGCGGTATGAAAACCAAGAAACGGGTGCGTTGGGACTTTTTGAATTTTTGCTCGCGCGCCCAAGCTCCGATTTCTTCACACGTCTCGCATCCCCGTTTCTTGCTTTGCATCCTCGCGCCATCTTCCCTTCTTGCTGCGCGCGTTTTCCCCATACAGGACTCTTCGTCTTCCCCTACGCCCAGCTTGATCCTTACCCCGTCTTCCTCCGCGAAGTGATTGGCTGCGTAGTTGGGATGCTCGGATCAATGTGGAAAGCGGGAAACCGCGCACCACTTGGACGAACACCCCAATCAYGTAGCCATGCAATCCCGCGGGTCGAACCCTCTAACTCCCCACCTCTCTCTCTCTCCTGTCCTGCTCATCTACACCCTGCGCTGCCCGCACCTCGCGCTGTTAACCCGCCACCTCCCGCGCTATAAATTTGCTCAACCCTCTCGTCTCCTCCTCTTTGATCTCGGCTGCAATGCTGCGCGAGCTATGCGCGAGAGTCCGCGGCGCCGAACAAGCTCGACGAGCCCAAGGACGGGCGGAGTGACGACGTGGGGTGGGCCCCGCGGTAGTCTCGGGGCTAAGCAGTCGGAGGGACTGAGCAATGGTGGGGATTGGACGCTGGCCGCGGCAGGGCCTTGTGGCTATGGTGGTCGGTGGTCTTGGGAAGTTTTGAAGGTTGCGCGTGGGGGCCGCAACTAATTGAATTTTTTGTGTACAAGAAGGACTCGCTTTTATCTCCATTGCTGCTTTGTCCATGCATGTCGTGTGTGTGAAGCCCCGAGTGATGGGAGCTGGTTGGGCGCACGAGTGATGTCGAAGGTTCGTGGATGATTGATGTCCTGTCAAGAGTTGTTGATTGCATGCATGTATGTGTGTATGTACTCGATCGGGCGGGAATGGGGAAGCTGAACTAGGGGGACCGTCTGCTTAGGAGTATGAGTGTGTTGATCCGGTTGTTCCCCTCCCCTCCGCGGCCTTTTCTGCGCTCTCGCGCGGTCTCGGCGCAACTCACCCTCTCTCTCTCTCTCTAATGCTTTCCTTTTTGAACTGATAGTCTTCGCTTTTGGAGCTTTTCGCCCCCGTACCGGTGACGTCAACCGCTTGCATCCGCGCGAACGGTCGACGCCCCCGCGAGGGGAGAGAGCTTAGACTTTGTCATCTTCCCTCGACGCACCCACCTTAAAGCGAGAGGAGTTGCGACGACTGTTGTATGGATTCGGTGTTGGTTCGGATGACCGGGAACGCGGGACCTCGCCCGTGTTCATCATGTACCTCCGATCGTCTCATCTCGCTACCGACCTTCCCCATCGCAGATGACGACAGCGTCTATTGCGATGCGGACGTACGGCGCGCGCTGAGGTGGACGGAGCAAGTGTGTTGGCAGGACCCACCTCGAGCTTGTGAGATAAGGGGGAACGGGTTTGTTTTGATTGATCGTTTTGATTCCCCGACTTTAATATTGCATTCGACAGGTTTGACGGTGTTGCCCTGGTCGGCCGCTCACGCCGCGTGGCAGCCGCAGTTTGATTGTCACTGGTGTCGCCAGGGGGACTCGTGTTCTTGGCGACGGCTGGTCCTGGGTTACGAGGGAGCGGCGCGTTTCCCCGAGCTTTCCCGTAGTGCGGGGGCGCTGCCCGCGCAATTTCGAATTCAGATGCCGGCGAGTCCTCCCGCCGCTTTACCCTCCCGGAAACTTTCGCGCGGACTCTGTGAGTCTGACGCCGAGGCTTGAAGGCCTCGAACCAACCACCTCCGCAGCAAAGACCCGAGGGTTCGGCCACTTTGTGAGGCCGATGATGAGGCCTGAAGGCTTTGAACCTGCCACCTATCCCCCAAACCCCTGACGGCCGAAGTTTTGTCCTCCGCCGCCATGGCCCTCTCCCCTTGATGCCTTTTTCCGTCCCGATGCATGACGGCAGTTCATTTTTGCGGAAACCCTTTTTTTTGAGTTTATCGTTTCGGAGTCATCCGACCCCTACGGGACTCCGCGACGACAGTTCGACTTCGGGGAGAACCTCTGGCACGAAACGAGGGCCTCCCGTTCCGTCCGGGAGACTCAACCCTTACGGCCAAAAAAATCCTCGGCCACGCCCCTCCTAGAACTCTGATCGGCGACCCCGTACGGGAAGCCGCGAGGGGGCGTGAGGTTGCGTATCACACACACGCACACCCACACACACATCCTAATTTCAACTTACTAAGTACGAGATCTGGGGATTAGTTCTTGGGGGGGGTCCTAAACCATAGAAATATATATACATATATTTTTTTTTGTTTTTGGGAAACATAGAAATATTTGGTTTCCATAAGCGCTTCACTTTCTTTACTTTTTGACCAAAGAATTCCCGATTCCCCTAAGCCTCACATCTGATGGCGCTGCAATGAATTGAAGTGCTATAAGCGGGCTGTATACTAATTTTGTCCTTGGCGTCATTGTCGGGACTCCTTTGTCTGCTGTGTTGCCTGTTTGTGTGTTTTGAACCTTGAGGGACTTGATTCCGTGACCCGTAACCTGTGTGTTTTGTTTGTGAGTGTTGTGCCCTATGAGGATTCATCCCTGCGTCTGTCACTAGTAGTCTCTGTTTTGGTAGTCCTAGGCCATTCGGCCTTTTTGTTTTGCCTTGTCATAGGTCTAGGCCGAGGGTAGAAGTAGCGGGCAGGAAAATTAAGTCGGGTCTTTTCTCGTTGTTTTCGCTGGGGAAACTCTGCCCGTTTGTGGCCGAAGCGTTGCTGCGTTATTTTGGGCGACGGCATCTTCTTCCTCGAAGCCAGCCATAGCTGGGGCTGGGACATGAAGTTGGAGATCGCACTGCTGCTATTCTGCAGCTCTGCAGAAGAGCTTCCACAGGACTGTGTTGTTGGGTTTGGCCACTGCCTTTCTTCACTTGGCAGACATATCTGCTGTTCCTCCTCATGAGGAACTTCGTTTTTCTCTTCTTCGAAGTGCTGAATCAGTTGTCTCCTTCTTCATCAGGACTTCCAGCGCTGCACTTCTGTGCAGGCGTTGAGCTGGCGCTGCTATCATTGTGGTTGCTGGTTCAGATTGGCACATTGTGACAGCTATGGGGTTACTGCTGCTACGGCAGCCATAGCCAGGGGTATTAGGTGGCGAGGAGGAAGAAGAAGACTACTGTAAAGTTCGTTGAACACCTGTTTTTTGGTTGTTCGGCGTTGTTGTAAATGCGGTTGTGATTCTTGGAACAAGTACTTTGGATTGATTGGAGGAGGACGGGGGATTACAGAACTGAAATTCGTTTTTCAATTCTCTGAGTATTCCGCTGTGCATATCCTCTCTCTGGTTTTGTGTGGATTTGCTTCCAAGTCTACTCTGTAATTGCATGCGTGTATGGGAATGTGTGAATTCGTTGTGGATGGAAGTTCAATCGGGTACATAACAGCTACACCAGACGTATGACCCAGCTCACAGACTGCACGTAGCACTAAGTCCACAAAGGACCACCTACACAGCACCCAGCCCACATACTCTCACCTAGTGCACACAAGCCACCTGGCCCACCAAGTACGGCCCGCTGCAAGATACCACTCAGCGCACAGAGTACCACCTAGCACTCAGTCCACAATGGACCACGTACACAGCACCCAGCCCACACACTCTCACCAAGTGCACAAGCCACCTGGCCCACCAAGTACTGCCCACTGCAAGATACCACCCAGCTCACAGAGTACCACCCAGCGCACACAGCACTGAGTACACATAGCAGCCAGCCTGCTTAGTAGCAGCCGCTGCACACAATACCAGCCAAGGCACATATCATCTTAGCTCTACGTACTGCCCACTGCAAGATGCCACCCAGCCCACACAGTACCACGCAGCGGCCAGCCTTTGTAGTGGCAGCCACTGCACTTAGTACCCGCGTGGGCACATAGTACCAGCCAGGGCACATAGCAGCCCACCTGTACATAGCATCTTAGCTCTTCATACTGCCCACTGTAAGCTACCACCCAGCCCACATAGTACCACCCAGCGCACATAGCACTGAGTAAACATAGCAGCCAGCCTGCATAGTAGCAGCCACTGCACATAGTACCCGCGTGGGCACATAGTACCGGCACGGGAACATGGCAGCCCACTTCTACACAGCATCTTAGGCCTACATACTGCCCACTGTAAGGTACCACCCAGCGCACATAGCACTGAGT